GTCTTCCTCTTCCTTTGTAGCCATATTTGTAAATTCTGTTTAAGTTTGGAAAATACAAGCTTTTTTTTAGATAACTCAATTATACTTTTAACCTTTGAGTAAAATGAAGACCAAAATTGAAAGAATATTTGTCAATGAAATTTTTGTTTCATTACTAATTATGTGTTTCTTAAATTTTATGTTAAAATATTTTAGAGCGTCCACCTTTAGTTGTGCAACTGAACAGTTGAATTTGCTGACAAACAATCGACAATCGCACAACTGTCGTATAGTTTAGTCAAAGGTGTGCGCCCGCTCGAACTCGTAGCTTATTTAATAATATTCTATGAGTAATCATTTCCTTTCAGTATAAGGAGTAAAGTTGCCTTGGGCAGGGAAAAGGGGAAGGATGGAAGTCCGTTGCCTAAAGGCTTCGGGATGCTTAGATTGGTAAGGATAAAATTACATTCTCGTAACATAGATAAAAAAATAATAAACATATACTTCAGATGTTTTATTTATGAACTACTTTCTTAGCTTTCACCCGTGACTACATTCACGTGGAATTAAAAAAAATTGAGTAGCCCATGTGTTCTTCCAGATTCTCCTCTGCATCCATACCAAATTTCATCGAAATCCGTTCAGCCGCTTAGGCTACAAACTCTAGCAAACATTCATCCATCTAAACTCATAATTTCATAATATTAGTAAGTTAAATAGAATTTTTTACCATTTACAGCAATGGGATGAAGAATTAGCAACATTTGCCCAAGTTTTGGCCAACCAGTGTGTTCTGAGGCATGATATTTGTCGCGCAACAAGTAAGTATGGATTAAATACAACAAAAAACCAATGAACATATATAGTATGGATGTTAACATCATATGTTGCAACATAAATATGTACCACCACCAGGTTATCGGTACAAGTTCTATCAATTTATTGATCCAAGCAATGTTTCAATAACTATAATTTGCGAAAAATTTTCGCCAGGCGCTAGCAGTGTTCTAAAAGGGTACATGTTTAAGAAGAAATGAATTTGAAATGTTAAGATTTTTATGGTTTTTAGTAAGTGATAATAATTGTTTAATTTAAATTGGTAATACAATAACATACTGAACACCTATATTTTTGTATTAGAATTTAATGATTTCAATAACATATCTATATTGTTGAGATATTTCATATTGTCTACGTCATAAAGTCCAAATCATTCACCAAAGGTCATTCAAACATTAAAGGAATTAAATTCGCTACCTACTTTCGATCGAATATCGTAAACAGTATCAAAAATTCCTTAAATTTACCAGCGTCAAACTTTTAACGTACTGAAATAAACGATTCTCTTTACTAATTTATCTTCGCTACAGTTAGTAAAAAACAAACTTGCATCCGCCTATCTGTCTGTCCCTACGTATGTTAAGATCTTTAAAACTACGCATCGGATTTTGATGCAGTTTTTTTAACAGATAGTGATTCACTAGCAAGGTTTATATGTACAATACATGTGTAATATAGCAGAGAAATACTAATATTTTTTTGAGGTTACTAACTTGTAAATAAACACATTTTCGTAGTAGCATTAAATAAAATAAATAAAACACTATTTATTGACCAAAATAATTATAAAAAAGAACACAACTTACAAAACATATTAGTTAAAGTAATAAAAAAAAATTAAGAACTCTTGGCCAAAAGGAGAAGGCTCAGCTGATGCGGCCTTCAGCTTGTAACTAAAGGCGGCGCTGGTTTTCAGCGCCCATTAGACCTATAAAGTAGAGGCAGATAGGCGAAAGTAGGCGTTAGTTAATTATAATTTGGAATACATTTCAGAAACTTTCCCCGATCCCGGACAGACAGCTGGATTAGTTAGATATACTTATCCTGATTGGAATTCGATATCAAGAACGTTTCCCAGCGGAGATGATAATGTACCTGGTCTGACTGAAGACAAACTAATTTACGCCATCAAGCAGAGCACAAAGTCGTGGTACATCCAGAAGACATCCGTCTCACCTGATATGATAATGAACTATCCTGATTGGCTACAGTAAGTATTCTTTCATCTTCTTCTTTCTATATTAATTATCAGTATTTACAGATATACCTTTAATGCTCCCTTTTTCTTTTTATCCATCGCTTCTTAACTTTTAGTCAATAGGTTTCTTAAAACACCTTCTCCTTTTGTCGACCTTGTCAATGATCATTTTTGCCTTGACTCTACGTTTATCTATTACGAATCCGGATGAACTTGATTTTGATAATTTTGTGTATCGTCTACCATGTTAGAGTTTTTTAATTAATTTCATTAACTAACATTGACTTATTTATCTTGATTTTTCATCTAAATTGGCTCCGGTAAAGCAATTAAACGGATTTGTTTTTAAAACTTAGAAATGTTTACTTATTCACCACTTCTTTTACGGTTGTTTCTCGATGGATCGATCGGTCCGTTGGGCGATGGGTCCAACGGTAAACACTCCCTTTAACTAACTAATAGTAAATGATTTGAACATTTACAGACATCCAACAAAACACGCTGGAAAATTATACTTGGAGATGGTAACAGGCCACGCGACGCACATGGGCTGCGGCATCTCTGCTTACACCGAATACACCTACAGGAATAACTTTGCTGCTATGAGTTATAATGTAAGTAATAACTCCACCCAGAATCGTTAATTGATCACTAAGGGAGTCTACTACTATTTTATCTTACTTCTTACTAATATTATAAATACGAAGTGTATGGATGGACGTTTGTTTGAGGTTTGTAGCCTAAACTGCTGAACGGATCTCGATGAAATTTGGCATAGATGTAGAGGATAGTCTGGAAGAACACATAGGCTACTTGATTTTGTTTTTTTTTAATACCACGCAGACAGAGTCGCGAGCGAAAACTAGTAAAATTATAAAATGCTGTATTTTGTTTGTTAAAATATTCATATCTCTAAATTAAAAATCACTTGAAAATCTATAAAATTAGATTTACAACTATATCCCATAATTCGGGTCGAATGAAACTGGGTTAAGCATTTCTCATGCGAAAAAAACGATGCGACCAAAACCGATAAACGGCAAGGTTAGGGATGTGACGAACGATATTTCGTTACCCAAGTTCTCTTGGGATTCAACACGTTTGATTTACGAATTTAACGGTCTGTCCCACCAAATTGTAAATTGTGCGATAACAATCCAACATGTGAAATAGGTGATCGAAATATCGGAATTTGTTACCTTGTATAAGATAAGTCTGTGATATCATTTTAAACCTATCTGAACCTTGGTGGGACAGGCCCTACGTCGGATTAAGAGCGATACGTTATTTATCATCTGGGGGATTGGAGCGAAGATCCAGTTTGCATTAGGGAACGGCGTAATATCAAATATTCAGGGGAATTACTACGTTAAATTCGAACTATCTGTATTTTGGTACTATTGGATAATTTTGTATACGATACATGGACCTCTAAATACTAAGACATTCGACAGAATATGGACTAAAAGACAACAGTATCATAAATGAGGATAAGGTAAATTTTAAAAATTATGTAACAACTAGCTAGCTTGCGCCCGCGACTCTGTCCGCGTGGAATTAAAAAAAAAAACAAAAGTGCGTAGCCTATGTGTTCTTCCAGACTATCGTCCTGCTGTACTGAAATCCGTTCAACTGTTTAGGCTACAAACTCTAACAAACATCCATCTAAACTTTCGCATTTGTAATGTTACTATGAGTATGATTATGTCCGTAAGTCACTTGTTATCGTTAAATATCATCTAATTACGTCAGATTACAAACAAAACAGATATTATATTTTAATACTTCAACTTTAATATTTAAAATATTTACCTTATTATTTTATTCAACTAAGGTTACATACAACTAGTCATGGCCTATAATCTAGACTCTAGATTCTAAAGGGGACAGGCCAATAATCAAGAGGAGGGCTAGTAGTCATTTTACAAAGAGTTTGCTTTTCTATTTGTAAAATGACTACTAGAGAGAATGGTCTAATTTAACAATGAAAAACTGACAAGTCGTTTTTTATTCATCTATAACATCTAATGATTGTAGCCATTTATGTATTTACTAGCTATCCCGCGACTCCGTCTGAGTAGTATAAAAAAACCAACGTAGGTAGCTTATGTGTTCTCCCAGATTATACTATATATCTATGCTAAATATCATCGTGATCCGTTCAGCTATTTGGGCTACAAACTCTAACAAACATCTGTGCATCCAAACTTTCGCATTTATAACATTATAAAACTTTACTAAAGGGTATCTGCCTTAACCCTTCCCTTGCCGATACACATACAACCATTGTAAATATATTTTTAGTCCGTCCAAGTGATCTGCAATTTCTCTGCTCGGCCGACACCTGGTACATCAGTGTACAACACGGAACCTCCGATAGACGCACCTCCGGGAACGCAATGCGGCTGTCCTCCCGGCTTCGACGAGGACGAAGACTGTTTATGCACTGAAAGTTTTAATTATAGACGTAAGTAGCCTTTCTTATTATTATTAGAAAAGTTCTTATTGTGAATCAGGAGTGAAACATCAAAGAACTTCATATGTTTTTATTTATTCTAGCGTTTCCTAAAAATAAACCTACGTGCAATGGTAAAAACTGTGTCCCACCCATTGTTTTATTGCCAATTATTGCAATGGAGGACGCGCCCCTTCATAAACTGAAAAACCGAAGGTAAACCATTTTACTTACGACTTTAGTTTTAATATGAACACCTATCATATACATAATCTAGTAATTCTATAAAACTTTGAAGAGAGGCATACAGTCACAGTCACACAGAGGCACAGTCCTCGTTATGTGCGTCTCCTCCTCCGTCAATTAAGGGTAGGCAACGCATCTACAATTGGGGATGTTTATGGGCAGCGGTCGCTATCCATTTCGGTGGATTCAGGTGACCTCGTGCTCGTTTGCCACCCTATATTTAAAAAAAGACTTGTTTTGTCTTGTTGATCAATTGACTCTTAAAACCCGAGCGCGTAACTTTGTCTATACCATCGCATAACTGTTTAGTCTCGCTTTGATTCCTATGAGCTCGTATGGTGCTGACACTATTCGATTTTTAGTTGAGCAACTAAACAGTTTGGTTGCGAAAGAATAGACAATCGATACAAAAGTTGTGCGATAGGTCAAAGGTGTGCGCTCTAAGAGTTAATAGATAAATAATTGACTTACAGATTAATGAAAAAAAAATCTTTTTCAGATATAATAATGATACCGACGAACAATACGAAAACATAGATATATTCAGTAACGATAATGGTGACAACAGTATTCACGGGAAAGAGGTAACATTGAACACTATTCGACCATAAAATAAATGTATATATGGTTTAATTCTAATTTCAATAAAATGTATATTATTGAAATTAGAATTAAACCGTACCATATAACCAGAGCGTCGGCGGCTCAGTGGTTTAAGTACTTGACTTGTAATTTACAGGTCTTGGGTTGGAATCCCGCTGTACCAATGTGATTTTCGATTTTTCGTATTTTCATATGTACATAATTTACCTGACGTTCTTACGGTGAAGGGAAACATCGTGATGCCTGCACATATCAGCGAAGAAATTCAAAGATATGTGTGAAGTCTTCCAACCCGCAGTGCAGCGTGGTTGACTATGGCCTAGTCACCCTAACTTTAGGGTAGGCTCCGAGCCCCTCGGTGGGGACGTATAGTGAGCTGGTGATGATGATGATATAACTACCATGTTGTTTACTAAGCATTTAAAAATTTCCAGACATACGTTACCAGTGATTTTGAAAAAACTCTACGTGAAGCACGCAACAATATGCAACAAGCAAGGTAACAAACATCACAACTGCTTGTTACTTTAATATTATAAATGCAAAAGCGATGGATGTTTGTTAGAGTTTATAGCCTAAACTGCTGAACGGATTTCGATCAAAATTTGTCATAGATGTAGAACACAGTTTAGTAAAACACTTATATAACTATTTTTTTTATTAAGCGCAGACGAAGTCGCGGCTAAAAGCTAAATTCAAGTTCGGTTACAACTTTTTCTTATTTTAATTTTACGGAGCACTACTTTAATGTTATTAATGTAAAGTCAAAATCATTTAAAAATTTCAAAACTAAGTTTACTTTGGGTATTTGGATTACTTGTAGTTTATTATTTTTAATTACATTTTAACAAATACAATAACTATAACTACGAAGTTGTAAATTCAATTTCAGCTAACACTTTTTCTTATTTCAATTTCACAGAGCACTGACCCACAAAGAGAACACATGGAAAATTCACAACGGATATTTTGGAAAAAGTTCGTTAGCACCAGAAAATAGACAAACCGTGCCCCAAGCTACTGATGCAGTACGAACTGCTAACGTAAGTGTTATATGTTCATTTTTTATCTGTTAATATAATTTACTTGATTTCTAGCTTTCATTTAAAAATACTCGTTTTTGTTTTGCAGAAACATGGAAGAAAGAGTATTTTCTCAAATGTCAACAATTTCAAGTTACCCGTGAAGGTTTTGATAAAAAAAGATGTTCTACCAAGAAAGGATTTCGCAAAAGTGCAAAATCTCGTAAACAACTATTTCAATAAGAAGAGAAATTACACTGTAGCTATGTCAAGCGACGATGAAACTAAAAGATATGTAAAAGTAAATGACGACATATTTACAAATGATTCCATACCTGAAATGTATGTTAGACCAAAAAATGAAAACGTAGACAAAAAGGTAATGCATTTACTGGATAATTTAGAACAAGAAGTCAATCATATAAACTTTGATCAGAACGAAAAAGAAATATTAGATAGCAAACTGAGAAAGATATACGGACGCATAAGTAATGAACCAAAGGATTTAATATCTGCTAGAAAACTTGAAGATAACACTTATAAAAGTAAGATTAACGAAGAAAGAGAGAATTTTCTTAAATACGAAAATCGAGTGAACGAACATTTGATGAATGTGCAAAGAGAACCTCAAATATATTTAAGGGATACGAAAAACAATCGAGCACTTAACTTCGACGATACAATGAATTATCAAAATCGATTAGTAGACAAAGACAGGGATTATGAAGACAATTTCGGTACTTTAAAGAAACGATTAGAGAAGCCTATTGATGATAATGTATACGATATTAATTCTAATTTAAAATTTAATAGACTGTTAGATAGAAACACTAGAACTATGAACGCAATAGTCGAGTACAGACATGATAATACAATGAGAGATCTAACAAACTATCGTAACGATGAAGAAATAAATAGACGCAATATAAGAAAAAATGATTTACCAGATGAAAGATATGTATCTAAAAATTATGAAGATCCAAGACATAAGAATTATTATCCCGTAAGTCATATGCATAGTGATGGACAACTTAATTATAAGAGACGTAAATATTATCAGGAAAAGTTAGATTATTTAGAAAGGAAACTTCAGAAGGTACGAAATCATAGGCGACATAATAAGGTCAGTAAATGACTGGAATTTTTCTTGTAACAAAAGTTAAATTATAGCATTTAATAAACTACAAAAACTATACTCTGCAAGACTTACTAAATTTCCACTATAATAACACGTCTAAATATAGATTTGCTCATTTTTGAAAAAAAAAAGTCAAGAAATATAAAATGCAATCGTGTCTATAGTCAAACAAGTTAGTTCTGCCAGGAAATATGCAGAAACTACATATCCATATAAAATAACATAAAACAAAAAGAATCTAATGACACTGTTAAATTAAATGAGAGTGCTAGCGTTAAATAAAGTTGGTCTAAAAGTAACAAAATTATTCTTTGTTTTAGCCAAATGAAAACCGTCAACTTCGACCATTCAAAGTTGACAGAGCCGAAGTGGAAGTGAGACCAGGACAACAGAAAATAAGAAAGAACACATTTTACATACCAGATAGAGCACGAAGCGTTCACGGGATTTAAACAATAAAAGATTTTTTTAATACCTCTTTTGTTTTACTTGGATTGAATCTACATCTAAGAAATTTTTTATGTGGTATAGATATGCGTCGAGATGTGGAGGATATAACATGAAAGTAAATGATATTAGAATGATGGCTACAAATGTTGAGGAAGAAAGTATGGATAGATTCTGTGAAAGAGGATATGCTTAAGAGAGTGAATTCGCATATGACGGCTGATAAAAATGTATAGAAGCAGCACATACTATGCCAATTTCGTTGGGACAAAGGCAAGTTGATAACGATGAATCTACACAGATAATAAAATAGTCTCATATTCAAATATACCGTCGTATTACTAGTCTACTTCTCTATAAGAAAATAAAATACAAAAGCAAAACATTTTACGAAATATAGAATTGATTCAATCAGATAAACGACTTTTAAATACTTGAAAACAAAAGATAGAAGGATTACAGAAAAAACAAATGAAGTCATATTAAACGTATTTTAAAAATAGTTTAACAAGAACAGACTACAAACTAATCTTGATTACCAAAAAACATTGTCAGTCCTACAACTACAAAACTACATAACTACTAAACTAAAACTACGGAACTACAAACTTTGGAGCCTAGTGTTTCTTTTTGTATATCTTAGGTCACATTTCTGTTTAATTTCACGTATTCGTTACATTATTTGACAGGTTTTATAAATCTTTTTGACCGACTTCCCAAAAGAAGGAGGTACTCAATTCGTCTGGTTTTTTTTGTTCAAACAAATACAAATAGTTTCATCTTTATCGTGACTTTAAAAAGAAGACGAAACATTCAATTGTTTACTAAAAAAAATCTTCTTTTGTTTTATAAACGCTACAAAGACGCGATTGTATGCTTTTTTCACATTAAATAGTCACCGAAACGGTGAGGTATCACGATCGATTCATATCGATTTTAGTAATCGAATAGAAAGTTTCTCGGTATAGTGATATAAGAAAATGTATCCAATACCTTTAACAATCGATATACGAATAGTTTTTCTGTGTTTGTCAGTACAATTTGTGATATCAAAGGATTGTCACATAAAAGAGGTGATCGAGTTTAAATTTAACAGTGGTAGAGCCCGCTTTAACATCTTCACACAAATGGGTCGGCTCGCCCCCAGCTATACCACGACTACACAGAAGACAGGGGTGAAGTGGGAGCAATTCCGCGTTTCGTCTAATGAGTGTGGCCCAACTTTAGTCCATTTTCCTTCCCATCCTTTTTCTCATAAGAATATGACGGAAAGGGAACGTGGATTTGACGGTGGAGGAGACGCAAAGGAAGAGGAAATATCTTCTTTATGTGCATCTCCTCCTTCGTCGATTAAGGGCAAGCAACGTATCTGCTATTGCGGATGTCTATGAGCAGCGGTCGCTTCGCTTTTGGCGGTTTTAGGTAGCCGCTTGCTCGTTTGCCACCTCGTAATATAAAAAAGAAATATATTAACCTTGACTTCACAAGTGTTAAAACTATCGTATTATAATTTAATCAAATCAAATTATATCCATACATACATTTTTTGGCATTTGTAGCCATCCAGATTCAATGTCGTAAATACAATTGTCTAATTTTTTTTTCAGGGTCTACCGTCTCAAAATGATATTGACCAATATATCTCTTCACCAAACTTAAGATTTTCTTCAGCAAATCTAAAAAGAGTAAGTACAAGAAAATTTGCAATTTGAAAATTATTGGAACCTCTTTATTGTTTTTTGAATCGTACATAGACCAGCAGAATAATGTCGAAGAAAAGATATATATTAAACAAAACGGTTTCAGTTATGTAACTGAGTCGTGAACGCACACCTGAAACTAAACTATCGCAAAACTGTTTAGTCTCGCTTTAATTTCTATGAGCTTGTATGGAGGTGCGGACACTACTCGATTTTTAGTCGTGCAACTAACAATTGAATTGGCTGCGAAACAGTTGACAATCGCACAATAGTTATGTCTAATTAAAGGACTGCACGCGCTCTTAAATACTGGTTTCTAACTAACTATTATGGGCGTCACAGCCATGTTATGCTTTAATAATTCATTACCTCTTATGTTTTCTTCCAATTTGCACAGAATACCTTACCAATATGGCCGTCGTATCGTCGAACTAATGCAACACCCTTGTTTTGACATCCGACTACTATTCGATTATTAACATAACAAGCACAATTACGACATTTTAAAACCATGACATAAATATTTTAAAAGAATGTTTAGGATCACAATTCCAAAGCATATATCGTTATTTCAAATTATGACAAATGGCACTGATTTATAGCACAGACTAATAACCTTCAAGAATACAGAATACGTCAAAATAGTCAAAAAGCTAACACTACGCATTTATTCTCAGGTAAGCCGCCATGTTGAACTGGAACAGGGCGACGTTTTATCCCACATATTAAACAAAAAACATCAACACATATTGAAAGAAAACAAAAATGAATTCATGAAACGAGCGTTGAAGATATTAGAAATCAAAATAAGAAGATTGATGAAGATGAGAAAATCTAAAAATGAAACGGCAAAGAATAAAATAAAAATCAATAATTCTATGTAACATATCCGTTAACAATGACTGTCGGCATGGAATCTATTTCTATACTAATATTATAAAAAGGAAAGATTTGTATTTTTTTTATATAAAAAAAGGGGGCAAACGAGCGGCGTGAACACCAAGGTGGTCAACGACGCCCATGGACATCCGTAACACCAGAGGAACTACAGATGTATATATATATGTATATATTGAAATAACTGAAAAACTAATGAACCGATTTCAAAAATTCTTTCTCCAAAAAGCTACGTCATCACTGAGTAACATAGGGTACTATATTTTAAAACCACGTGGACGAAGTCGCGAGCAACAGCCAGTCTATCCCAATATCATAAAGGGGAAAGATTTTCTTTTTCTATGTATTAAAAAAACTCACAAACTACTGTGACAATTAAAAAAACTCTTTCATCATTATGCTACGTTATTACTGAATAATATTATTACTATTATTGGGATTACATGGACGAAGTCACAAGCAACAGCTAGTTAAAAATATCGGGTTATAAGAAAACAAACCTATTTAGTAAATTGAAAACATTGTAACTCAAAATTTTCTCTTCCCAATGCTACGTTACACTTCTGTTAATTGCTACATAAACAGAATGTTACAAAGACCCTATTTACGTTAAAACCTATATAATCCAAGTGTCTGAGTTAATTCAACCCGAAACCGCAGAAGCGAAATTAACGTGCCAAATGAATTAGACTTTGTTATTTATGCATTTCGGTTCCACCTTTTGTATTACATTTTTATTTCATTTAATTGTAAAAGGACTTACTTTGTAATAAACAATTTCTTTTTTTTATTTTAAAGAACATTAGTAAAGATAATTTTACATCTTACTAATATTATAAATGCGGAAATTTGTATGTATGTATGGTTAGGAAATATCTCTTCAACGCCTCAACGGATCTCAATAAAATTTGGCATAGATGTAGAGCATAGTCTGGAAGCTTTCAATTCCGTGCGGACGGCGTCGTGGGCGACAGCTATTACTTTGCACACCTTTGACTAAAGAATCCTACAACAGTTTTGCGATTGTCGATTGTCAATTTTTTCGCAACCACTACAACTGTTTAGTTGCACAACTACAAATCGAGTACCGTGCGCACGTCCATATAAACTCATAGGAATTAAGACGGTCTATTCGTGACAATTTGCGTTTTTTGGGGGAAGAAGTAGGCGCGCGCAAACAATGAGCGGGGTGCACCGCACTGTTAGATCGCGTTAGTCGAGTCTCGTCGGTCTTTTTTGGTAATATTTATAACTGAAAGTAGAGGAAGTGTTTATTTTTAACATAAAATACAAAGTCATTTTATGTTATGATATTTTTATGAGTACTTTTACGATAGGTCAAGAGCTAAAAGATGTAATCGTATTTCATGAACAGTCTTACCATGTGTATTGGTAAAACGCGTCTAAAAGAACATGTTGTTATCCCTTTCTAACTTATGGAATAAACTGAGATATCAATATTTCGATGGCTCTTACGTAGACTGGAATAAGCCACGATTTTGCTATTTACGTATTGTTTTTAATTAAATTAATGAGAAACGAAGGACTTTCGATTTTGCATATCTATCGTATGTTCATATTTTATGTGTCGTAATTAATATTAAGCGCCAATAGTCTAACAGTTTGGGGTACGGACTACCGATCTTGCGGTCGAGGGTTCGAATCCCGCCATTCGACTATTGTCGTGAACCATATCCTCCAACGATGTTCTTCCGCGGTGCTTTTGAGACTTGGTAGCGGGAACACTTGCGCAAGCTTCCGCGACCCAGTCAGCGCTGTCCCAACGGGGATACTCCTTGATGGGGACTTTATAGTCCCCGTTCTCCCTCTAAGGCGCACCCGGAACATCGAGGTGCACCTTCCATCGCGTGAGTTGGTCACGGGCGATAGATAGTAGACGCCCATGACCTACCCAACTAGGGGGGCAGACAGCGGTCGAGGGTCGTGAACCATATCCTAGCACAAGCCTAGAGCTTAATTGTAATGGTTAAAGGAAATATTAGTAAATTAACTAAGATCTACTAATGTTAAAAATGTATTAAGTTTTGCTTTTCACACATACGATCAATTACGTAGTCTTCGATTTTTAAGGAAGTTTTCGTGCAATGGCAAATCATGCTTGTAACTCAATGTAGAGTGCGAACTATTCCCTAGAACATCCAGAGTTAAGTTTAAGGCATTAACTGAACAAGTTCAAAGTGAATTTTAAACTTAGAGTACTTAAGATGAAGTTTCATTTTAAGTACCTTAGTGAGCTTTCATAAGTGAAAGTCTACATTTTCTCTACTTATAAATTTAAAAAGTATTAAGTTCTTATTATTTTTTAAATTGGCTGAATAAAGGCAAAACGTCGGCCGGCCCAGATACCGCTGGCGAGACGCCGTAGAGCTGGACCTGCGCGAGCTAGAGTCGTTCGACTGGCAGGCGACAACGCAGGCCAGACGACGCTGGCGCTCTCTCGTGTCGGAGGCCAAGACCCACTTTAGGTCGCTGCGCCAACGCAGTAAGTAAGTAAAGGCAAAAGCAATTTGACATTTAGATTTTAATATTGACAAGTTTTACGAAATGTAAATCTATACTAATAAAGAGGAAACATTTGTATTTTTGCTTGTATTATAATAACTCAAACTACTTAGCTGATTTCAAAAATTCTTTCACCATTAAAAAGCTACGTTATCAGGAAGTAACATAGGCTATGCTTTTTATTACTCTCTGATATCACGCGGGCGAAGTCACGAGCTATCTTATTAATATTATAAGTGCGAAAGTTTAGATGGATGGATGTTTGTTAGAGTTTGTAGCCTAAACTGCTGAATCGATCTCAATTAAATTTGGCATAGACGTAAAGGATAGTCTGGAAGAACACATAGGCTACTCACTTTTGTTTTTTTAATGCCACGCGGACGGAGTCGCGGGTGAAAACTAGAAGTGAAATAAAGTATAATATGATCCTAATGAATCCGCAAAGGGACAGCAAGTATTCAATAAAAATACATAATGTATCGAATCATTTTAATATATGCACTACAATATCAGGCTTACGTCCTGCATCGTCGACTTCTTTAGATCCGGACATATTTGAATCTTTATTCTTATCGTTAACTGTTTTCACAAACTTCGCAGGTTTCTTTCGTTTCATTTTATTCTTAGATATTTTTTTCTTCTTCATCATGATGTATTTCTCCTTTTCTTCCGTTTTCTTCCATTTCTTTTTATGCTTTCCTATCTTTTTGATTATCAGTTTAGGCATTTCTCTTTCTTTGTCTAGTTCGTACACTTCTGTGTAGTTTTTTAAACCTTGAGGATAGTCCTGTAAACAGAAAGATTTTCGGTTACATTAGACTAGTCGTTCCCATGCGGCTTCATCCGCATGGATTTAAAAAGACTTTATTTTATTGTTTACATTTATCAAATTATCAATAGTAAATTTCGAAATGACATGACATGATAAAACTTGGCAATCTTGCTTCCTTGATGTTGGCAGCAAATTATGGTCTCTTTCCCACATAAGGGTTTCTATCCAAAATATTTATCCCCTAAGTTTAATGGCGTGAAAATATATAGTCTAAAGCGTGACGCAAGTGTAGGGCTTTAAATTAAAAAAAAATATTCAAAAATATGCTGTAATTGCTGACATCTTAGGCAACAAAGTAGTGTGTGTTTACGCTTTATTATAATAGTTTAGATTATTAAAGTATTTCAATAGTTATTCGTAAACAGATGTATTAAACTACTGTTATATTTTCATTATTTTTCCAGTTACTCGATTAATACTATTTCTTCATTAATTCATTAACTTAAAAAATATACTTATATCGTATTTTTATGCGCCATAAAATAAAGCTTAAAGTTTTCGATAAAATTTACGATACAAACAAAAAAAATTGTTAACAAATGAATAAAAAGCCAACTTGCTTGCTCGTTTTTAAGTATTAACAATATAAAATACCTGAACATCGTATTTTCCATAATATTCACCGATATATTTCTCCATTACTGAATGATTTTTTGCATCCACCTAAAAGAACAATTATACATTATTTAAACACCAGCTTTCGTCCGAGAATCCGTAAGCGTGAAACTGAAATAAGTGTTCTCCCAGACAATCCTCTACATCTATACCGAATTTCATCGAAATCGGTTCATCCGTTTAGACTACAAACTGTAACAAATGTCCATCCATCTAAATTTTCGCATTAACAATATTAGACTTAAAGTGTAGAATCGTACAGAGATTTTTAATTAAATATGCCAAATTGAATGCGGCACAGGACCGGGCATAGTGGCAATCGATGGGGGAGGTCTACGTTCAGCAGCGGACGACCTAAGACTGTTAATGATGATGCCAAATTTTAAACAAACGCCTTCTTTATTGCCTTATCATTTATCACTATTATTAATTCTTATTTGTTATAACTAAATAATAAATAGGATAAATGTATGAAATTAGGGCATCTAAATTATTACAACAAGCAAGCAGTTTTGGTACATATTCTAGGATTTACCGCTCAATTTCTCGGTCAAATTATTTAGGTCATAACAAACATTTCTCAGTTAATTGTCGTGACATGCAGCCATCAGTTACAAGCATGAACACAACACTTAGAAATTAATCGCATTTCCCAACTAATCTAAACTTCGGTACAAAGTTTGTAGGCGCAGAGAGACTTAATTGCCTATGGTGACAACTCATGCCATACAATTTATTCATAGTCCTGTTAAATGCTTCTAATTTGACTAAATATCTAAGTTATTTATGGGTACTTTGAGTAGACCTAGGATGGATGAATTCTACGTAAGAACTGCGCCCACCTTTGACTAAACTAACGCACATCTGTTGTGCGATTGTCGATTGTTTCGGAGCCAATTCAACTGTTTAGTTGCACAACTAAAAATCGACTATTGCTGACTCCATATAAACTGATAATAATCAAAGTGGGACTAAACATTTGCGCGATAAATTACTCAAAAGTGTGCGTGCATAGTTACATATAAAAGCACATACTGTGTCTACAAAAACCTTTCTTACCTGATTATTTGATAAACTAAGTTGTACAAAACACACGAATAAAAGTATCTTGAAGTAGTTGCAATTTAAATCCATTGCAATTATAGACAATTATATATTCACCTCCCAGTGGGTATCTCTAAAGCTTATGGATATATTTATAAGTGAATGCAGAGCATACTCTAGCAAGTTTCACTAGGGACTGTAGTATAAAACCCGTTCGAGATTCGTTTGTTATAAGAAACGAAAACTATCGCATTTGTTTGGAAAACATTATCGAAGTTTCGACTTTTGTTTGGTAAAATATAACTCACGTGTTAATCGATAACCGTTAGTTAAAAAAAATATTTAATTAATCGTTGTTACATTTTGTTTTCTGCATCACTCAATAGCGACTTAACTGTTCTATAGACATAAATTTAAGCGGATGGGGGAGGACAACTACCCTAGCTGCTACAAAATAGATATAAAAACTGCTATTTATAGTAACTGTCCCCTCTAGACGTAGCTTAGATCATCGGCTATCGACGCTCATGTAAATGTAAAGCTACATTTAATGAATACGAGGGTGAATCAAAAAATTTATTACATGCGAATGAACTGTCAAAAACAAATGACAGTGTGCATAAATATAGTGTGATAGACACTCTTTAATTTGAATATCGAACTTGATCCAAAAAGGTTTCATATATATGCACTTCTAATAACTTTTTGATTCACCCTCGTAGAAGAGACGATGTTCTGAATAAGATTTTAGTTGTATTTATCTCTGGAACGGGTGGACCGATTTGGACGGGACTTTGTATGAAAGGTAGCTGGTAAAAAGTAGATGCACGCGGGAATGTTACAGACGACCATTTTTTTTTGTAATTCCACGCCAACGAAGTTTTCGGGCGACATCTCTCTAAATTTCATCGAAATCCATTCTGTAGTTTAAGCTATAAACTCTAACAAACATCCATCCGTCCATTTAAACTTTCTCATTTACAATAATAGGTTATATGAAAAACACAATAGATAGCATTTTATACATTTTATATACAAGTAGATATATTGATTTATCGCTTTGAAACCCTCTCATAAATACAGATTAGGGTTTATATATCGCCGAGCCATTTTTGTCAAGCAATCGAGCAAATAAAAGTTGATTTATTGTGAATTTGTTGATTCATAGCCTCGAGCTTCTGATGTATTTTGTATTCCCTTACTTAAAAAATGTCACAAATACTTAATAGTAACCAAATTTATACACACACTAAAATTTAAATCTCTCGTTTATTACATAAACAAATAATTAATTTAATTACTAATTATGCTATGAAACATTAGTTCCCAACTAGCGACATTAAAAAACTACACTAAACAATGGACGACAAATAGCGATGTATTTTGCGCACATCACTGATTACAAAATTATACACAACTAATTTTGCCCGCGATTCTGTCCAGGTTTAAGGGGTGGGAAGGAAAAGAGACTAAAGTTGGGCGTCCGGCAGCACACTCATCAGACGAACGCGGAATTGCTCCCACTTCACGCCTGTCTTCTGTGTGGTCGTGGTATTTCACCGGGCGAGCCGACTCGTTCGTGCAAAGACGTTAAAGCGGGCTCTACCACTGTTAAAAATAATAATTACTAATCATCATCATCATCATCACCAGCGCACTATACGTCCCCACCGAGGGGCTCGGAGCCTACCCTAAGTAAGGGGTGACTAGGCCATAGTCAACCACGCTGGCCAAGTGCGGGTTGGTTGACTTCACACATATCTTTGAATTTCACATTGGTACATGGCCGGATTCGAACCCAAGACTTGTAGATTACAAGTCAAGTGTTCTAACTACTGAGCTACCGACGCTCTTTTTAATTTTTAATTAATAATATTAGAATAGAAATATAGATTTATATTGAAATCTTTCTTCATAGATAAAGTTCAATAGAATATTCAATTGAAAGCAATGCCTTTGATCTATGCAGTACGTGACAAAAGCAGTGCTTTGAGGATCAGCGGTTGGCACTTTTGGTTTACACTTTAGTACCATAACGCCAGCGTGCTTCGAATGGCGAAATATGCTTAAACTAGCGAATCGCCCCGGCATCACACCATTGCTAATATGAGAAAAGAAACACGCTGTTTATTAATAGTTCCTAAACATTAGTAATAATAATATATAGCCTATGTCACTCACAGATAAATTACCTTTCCGATGGTGAAAGAATTTTAAAAATCGGCCCAGTAGTTTTTGAGTTTTTTAAATACATACAAAAATACAAATCTTTCCTCTTTATAATATTACATAGGTTTCTTCCATCAATCATGTACACAAAGGAAACATTTTCGATCGTTTTACTTAATAATTGCCAATCGAAGCAGCCATTAGGGAGTTCGCAGAATGCGAATTAAATTACTGACTCGATTGAATTTCAAATCTCTTGACGGTAAATTTTAATGTCTGCCGAAATGTAAGATTTATGGAAATGTATTACTTGAATTAAAACGTTTTAAATAAATAATAGTTACATTAAATAGCATTGTAACAAATACCAGAAAGCTTAATGTACCAAAGAGATTGTACGAACACGATTTTATTTCTTTTCCTTGTCCTTCCAATAAAGATTTATTACTTTGACGAAACAAGGTACATTCGAGTTTCAGTTGATTGGGCAAAGGATAGGGCGTTTTGTAAGGTTTTATTTGAAACAACATGTAACGTATAAATTAATTGCTGCCTTTAACTTTATCTTTATGATTTTTATCTATGTTTTTATGTTTCTTAATCCTGTTCATAAATTGTGCCGCCTGTTAAAATCTAATAGCAATGTTGTGATTGTCAATATTTGCTCTTTTAATTTCTTGGTAGTTTACCCGGGCTTGTATATCGTATATTTTCAACTATGCTATATCAATATTTGTTTGCCAACGACAGAGTATTGACTGAAACGATCTCCATTTATCTTAATTAGCGTTGGAGCGATACTTCGCATCCAGCGGAGCAGCGACATAAATTCGGTTTTAGGATCTTAATTTAATTAAAACTTCAACTAAAATACGGGTTACCGTTACCGTCTCAGATGTCACCAGATAGATAATAATCGAGAAATGTACACAAATAATATATCAAAATAGACATAAAAAATAATATCCGAATTATTCGGTTTTCTTTTTTGGCAAATTTAACACAAATTATTAACATAAAATGCAAAGTGCGTTTTAAATTCGAACATCGAATTTTGTACCACATTTTTTACTAGAAATCATAAAAAACACAACGGAAAATAACAAATCAACTCTTCACCTAGTTTTGTAAATATTTGAATACGTAACAATCTGAGACATCTATTAAATCTACATTTTGTTATCAGATAAAAACATAATCAAAAAGAGACAAATAAAAAAATAACCTAAAACCGAAAAATCCGACAATTGACCTACAAACATAAAGAAATAAATTCGAATACAAAACATTTTTATTCAACAAGATATTTTAAAATGAGGTCAAAGGACTTAACATAACAGTAAAAATATAACTGTTCGAATTCTTGATCCTTCGAAACTTCGGTCGTTGACAGCTTTCACACCTAGACGGTAATTGTCTCCTTTTCTAACATTAAGACATTTACGCACACAGAGCGAGACAGAAAATCAAAACGGTAAATTTCTCAGTCAAGGACGAATGCACTTTATACCAGAAATCGCTTCATACAAATTATTTTAGTATCTGTGTTAAAACTTGTAAAGGTAGTTGTATTTTTCTCCCGCGCTTTTTGTTAATCTGTATTTTAGTGTTATCAATAAACAAAAATTGCTTCTTAGTTGATTTTATGGATTTATTTTTTGGTATAGCAACACTAAAATTTTATCGGGCTATGATTACGTGTTCTTTTACCGCTTTTACGAATACCGGTGCAGCGAACTGAGTCAGTCATGAACATTTCTCAGCGCGAAACAAGTGATCTAAATTAGAAAAAAAATACAGTAATATAGTATTTGTGAAGTGAATTAATTTATTTGAATACTTTGGATCAAATTGAAATTAATTTTGGTAAGCATTTATTTTAATTATAATCATAAAAAATAAATTATTGACTTGCGTATTTAAATTAAATAAAGAATATTTTTGATAAATGATTCTAAATATTTTTATATAAAATACATAATGTCAATACTGAATATAAAAATATTTATTGATAATTTTATGTTTTCTATTTCGCAATAAAAATGTTTTCACGATAAGTAGCAAACTATAAAACTTTTCCTTTCACATCGTAAAATGTTCACTATTTGTATTTTTTATGCTTTTAAAAAAAATAGGGTAGTCAAAAAAAATTGAATATAGTTGGATTCATCAGTCTTAATACATGAAAACATTAATATCCTTGTTTTTCACAATAATAGCGTAATCCTGTAACAAACGAAAACTTATCTTCGTAAGCGCCGCTTAGAATCTAATAAACGTCAAAAGTTATAAGGAATTTTGAGTTTAAGCCTCGCATCATTTAAGTTGTTACATATTTATGGCGTTTCAGTATTTAGCCTATGTGTACAAACAAAAGTGTAGATTCACACGTTTCAGTTTCTGCTTATTCCGTTAAAACTATGTCATACAAAATATTCGCCCTGGTTTTTATGCGAATTCATGATTTTTCTCTGTGCCACTTTCAATCAGATGCAAGATAATAAAATCACTTGGTTAGTAATATTTTTATCGTAAATTTTTTAATATAGTTATTTTACTAAGTTATTATTTAAATCTCTTTGTTGTCATTAATAACCTTATCTATATCGATACTAATATTATAAATAGTAATATTGAAATAACTCAAAAACTACTGGGACGGTTTTAAAAATTCTTGCATCATTAAAAAGCTATATTAACTAAGTAACATAGGCTATATATTTTTTTAATTTCAAGTAGGCGAAGTCACGAGCAACAGCTGTAAAGAGGAAAGATTTGTATTGTGTATTTTTGTATGTATTGAAATAACTCAAAAACTACTGGGACGATATCAAAAATTTTTACATCGTTAAAAAGCTATATTATCACTGCGTAACATAGGCTATATTTTTTTAAATTTCAAGTTGGCAAAGTCACGACAATCTCTTTCGTCTTACAGCCTTATATTACCTTGGTTTGTTTAAACATATATTTTGCCTCGCAAAAACAGTGGTGTGTTCAAAATATTAAACTTTTTAAACATAGCAGAATTCTTTGAAAACTACCTGTTATGATAAGAAAACATTTTTAACAAAAACAACTATTATGACAAAATGTTTGGTAGAAAACAATGATTCACTCTTTTACAATTCAATAGATAAGGTAACGTTCAAATACTTTGTTTTTAAGAATTTTATACAATTAGCGCTTGTCCCAAATAGTTAATTGTCTAACTGATAACAATCCAACTTGTAAAGATATGATGGAAATATCGAATTTTGTTCCCTTATCTGACAGTGACGTCATCTTTAAACTACCTGAGCCTCTATCAGCCAGTTGTGGGAAAGGCCTTTAATGTTATCATGATATCATTGAATAGGCTTCGATACTACTAAAATCATTTCTAAGACTTTTTCACTTTTACAAAGCTAATTATTACTTAGTAACATAGGCTATATAACAGGGAAGGGTATGGACAATGGGAGAGATAGGAAACGTATATTTTGGCACCAGGCGAAGTTAGATTATTTAATTTTACTAATATTACAAATGCGAAAGTTTAGTTGGATGTTTGTTAGAATTTGCCTAAACTGTTGAATAGATCTTTATGAAATTTAACAAAGATGTAGAACATAGTCTGGAAGAACACGTACCATAAGTTACTCTAATTCCATAAAGACGGAGTCGCGGGCGAAAGCTTGTCTAAATTTATATTAAGTTATAATTCCAAGGAAAAAACAATCTTAAATCCATAATCGATCTTGTGATTATGTGGAAATATCTTAGGTAATAATTATTAAATATAAAAAAATACAACTACGACACTACAAAGAATAATACATTATTATTAATATTCGAATAGACTCTCTTCTAAGCTATTTAAAAGTCATTCATTCTATTATTATAGATATACACGTAATTAGTGTAAAAACTTTTAAAGTGCCTTTTAAAACTAAATCAAAATTGGCATCATTACTTGAATAATGCAACAAAAAAATGAATAATTTAAATACATCAAACTGTGGTCAATTCGGCCAGTTCACTAAATTACATATTACAGTATAACAACCTTTTTTATCAGACCTTCTTGAGTGTAACCTCGGACAGGTGAGGTCAATAACCGAAGGCGCTATGACGTCACGTTCCTAGTACCGCTATGATGTTAAGGACCGTGTACATCTATAACTTTCATATGCAGTCTTAAAAAGTAGAAGTGTTTATCTATACTTCTATACAGAAGCATAGATAGAAATCTATACTCTATACTAATATAATAAAGCGTAAACACACTATTTGTGGCGTAGGATGTCAGTAATCCCAGCATATTTTTGAATAATTCTTTCTTTAATAAATAGCCCTACCCTTACAACACTCTTTAGGCTATATATTTTCACGCTATTAAACTTAAAGGGTAAATAAATTGGAAAAAAACCATCACGTGGGAACGTGACCATAAACTACAAGCTGCAAACATTAAGGAGGCAAGGTTATTACGGTAATTTGAATTTTGACTTCCACGCGGGTGACGCGGCACGGGAATAGCTAGTTTCTAATAAGTTTGAAACTACTCAACTGATAATTTACTAAGAAAATCAATCAAATATGTTGACTTTACTAAAACTGCAGTAGTAAAAGACATCAACGCATTGATTTAACTTAAATTTATGACGTTTTCTGCAAGTTAAAAAAATAATTTTTCGTACGTCAACACGGTTAAAAAGACACAGATAAAAAAATACATAATTATGTATTACGGGCAAAGAAAAATAACCTTTAGTCGGAAGGATAAAAAATGATCGCGTAGGTTTATAAGCGTTAAGATCTGTGTATCATTTAAGAAAAAAAATATTACATACTAGCTGTTCTCGTGCGGATTTGTCCGCGTGAAATTATAAAAACTTTATTTTATTGTTTACATTTGTCAAATTATCAATGACAAATGTCAAAATGACATGACATGACAAACCTTAGCAATCTTTCTTGATGTTGGCAGCAACTTATGGTCTCTTTCCCACTTGAGTGTTTTTATCAAAAATATTTACCCCCAAAGTTTAATGGCGTAAAATTTATAGCCTTAAGCATGATGTAAGTGTAGGGCTTTTTATTAAAAAAAGAATTATTCAAAAATATGATGTAACTGCTGACATCTTAGGCAACAAAGAAATGTGTGTTTACGCTTTATTATAATAGTATAGATACAATTACAATACTACGGAACTTACGTTTTTGTAACAGTTGTTAAAATGTAAAGGGTTTTTAAACCGCTAAATACATGACTCACGAAATAGCTGGCTCTTATAACTTAAAAAAAAGAATTCAAGTTTCCTTTGAAGCAGTATTGTTGAGAAGTAATTTAAACAATTATTTTCGGTTATGCTATTTTTAAAAGTAAATGTATAACCTTAAATCAATAATAAAAAAACATTAAAAGGATTTTATGGATTAAAAGTTGTTATTTCCTTATTTTAATGATGTATTTTTGTATTTTACCAAAATAGGAAGTAAATATATATTTGGACACCAATGACAAGCTGTAGACATTTAACTTTTAAAGATATAGCAACATAGAACAATTGTCAGTTTCAACACATTCTTAGAGCACGCGAACATCTTTGACTAAAATATCGCACAACTGATTAGTCGCGCTTTAATTCGTATGCAATGATATTAGTGCGCACTACTCGATATTTAGTTATGCAACTAAACAGTTGAATTGGCTGTGAAACAATTGACAATCGTACAAGAATTAAGCGAAAGTTTAGTCAAAGGTGCGCCCGCTTTTATGCTATTTCTATACTATTATAATAAAGCGTAAACACACACTTCTTTGTAGCCAAAGATGTCAGCAATTACAACATATTGTTGAATAAATCTCTTTTTAATGAAAAGCCCTACACTTACGTCATGCTTTCGGCTATATATTTTGACGCCATTAAACTTAGGGTGTAAATATTTTGGATAAAACCCTAATGTGGGAAAAAGACCATAAGTTGCTGCCAACATCAAGAAAGATTGCTAAGGTATGTCATGTCATTTAGACATTTGTTATTGATAATTTGACAAACGTAAATAATAAAATAAAATTTTCATAATTACATGCGGATGAAGCCGCACGGGAACAGCTAGTTTTTAATACCGACGGAATACCAGGCGATATCTACTCATCCAAATAGTATAATAAAATGTAAGGTGTGCACTTGAGTAACAAATTAACAAGGGTTTTGTAATTAATAGGCAATTCACCACACGTCAATCTGCTAAATTTAGGTAAACTAGTTTGTTAATGTTGCAATTTATAACATTATTTATAGTATTGTTTAAAAGCAATTTCTCTAACCGATAACATTTACGATTACATAAAATTAACGACACCTTTTTACCTAATCTACCTAATTACTATTTAAAACGGAAATTGAGTAAAAAGAATTATCTATTTCTATAAAAAGTAAATGTTTTAAAATCTCTTTTTCCAGTCTTTTAGTGTTTTAGTGTGTTAGGGATGATGCACACTAGTGATGATCTTCCCTCATCAGCTTTCCTGATTAAACCTACATGACATGAAAATGAAATAAAAAAACATACAGACGAATTGAGTACCTCCTTCTTTTGGGAAGTCGGTTAAAAAATGTCCTCTTTCATGTTATGTAGGTTTTATAAGGAAATCTGATGAGGGTAGAAAAAACGCTTTGGATCTTAGCCTATAATAATGCCAGCTCTTGCCTCGGCTTCGCGCGGGTGCAACGTTGATATGAAAAATCACATTAGAAATCTCTAAAATTATTAGTATTTCTCTACTATATTATACAAATATTATAATTCAACTTGAATTATTATCTATTAATAAAACTATATAAAATCATTGTGTAGTTTTAAGTTTTAAGATCTAAGCACACAGGGACAGACAATTGTAAGCGACTTTTTATGTTATGTAATGATTATTTAAAACACAGCTAAAATCCATACTTCTATACTATTATAATAAAGCGTAAACACACACTTCTTTGTTGCCTAAGATATCAACAAATATTTTTGAATTTAATAAAAAGCCCTACATTTACGTCACGCTTTAGGCTTTATATTTTGACGCCAATAAACTTAGGTGGTAAATATTTTGGATAAAAACCCTAATGTGGGAAAGAGACCATAAGTTGCTGCCAACATCAAGAAAGCAAGATTGCCAAGGATTGTCATGTCATGTCATTTTGACATTTGCAGTTGAGAATTTGACAAATGTAAACAATATGTTGATGGAGCCGCATGGGAACAGCTAGTCTTAGCATATTTATGTGTATCTCGTTTGGTAGTTAGTATTAAAAATGTGTTTTTAAATGGTTATCAGAAAATAATCAGGTGATTATAATTACTAAATCTTTTTTAATCATTAGATAACTATTTCTTATCTAATAACACCGATTCATTCGTAATTGAAGTGTTTTACACGCCACAAAATAGTAGTGTTTACACTTCATTATATTAGTACTAGCTGTTCCCGTGGGGCTACATCCGCGTGAAATTATAAAAACTTCACTTTATTGTTTACATTTGTGTAATGTCAAAATTCAAATGCATAAATGACAACCTTAGTTTCTTCATGTTGGCAGCTCGTAGCTTATGGTCTGTTTCCCACATTAGGTATTTTATCCAAAATATTTACCCCCAAAGTTTAATAGCGTGAAAATATATAGCTTAAACCGTGACGTAAGTGTAGGGCTTTTTATAAAAAAAAAGAATCTGAGATCTTAGGCAACAAAGAAGTGTGTGTTTACGCTTTATTATAATAGTATAGATAGTGTAGATAGTTAGATAAGAAAGTTTGGATGGATGGATGGTTTTTGATAAAGTTTGATAGTTTAAACAGTTGAACGAATCTCGATAAAATTTGGCATAGAAGTAGAACATAGTGTGGAAAAACACATACACGGATACGAACGGAATCGGGCTACAGCTAGCTTGTAATAAAATACCGTACATAACAGCATAGTAACTGTACACAATGCGAGAGAGATTTCATCCGATTTCCCTTTTAATATACAAACAGTGAAATCCCGAAACGACGTCTGATGGACCGTTAACGGCATGTTTTATTCATATTGCTACACCGTGCATGATGCGACCTAAAAATATCTGCACGGTTTATAATAGATTTTAATCTATTCCATGAAAATAACTGGAAATAAAATGAATGCTAAAATATTTGCGTGGGTTTAAAACTAACCTAAAATTACGTACTGACCAAAGATAATCTATAACTATACTAATATTTTAAAGACAAAAGATTCGCATTTTGAGATTTTTGCATGTGTTTGATTCACGCAAAAACTACTGGGCAGTTTTTAAAAATTCTTTGACCCTTAGAAAGGTAATTTATTTGTAATAAACATAGGCTATAATGTTAAATTTCATGCGGACGAAGTCGCGAGCAACAGTAATACTATACTATTATATCACTGACGTCACGAAGTGTAATGTAACCCAGCGTGGAAATCGTATTCTTGATTCAGATTTCAAAGCGAGTGAGTAAACAAAATACTTTTATTTGAAATCATATAGACTTTTTCAGCACTATATTCTGTATGAAGTTTCCTTACAAATTCTTACCTGCATGATTTAATTACGAAATTTAGTTTTAGTTTTATAAGCACATTTAAAAGGAAAAATCCCTGTGAACAAAAAGAGAGAATCAATTCGCTTTATGAATTGGAATTGCAATCTACAATGGCATGCGGAGCTATATTCACGATATTAAATACTATCATAACAGGGATGCAGAAATACTGGATACGACATAAATTATGTCAAAACATAATACTTAGAACATAAATTGTTGTACTGTATATTCCACTGTAGTCCGGCCGAAATATAAGGCCGGTAGTCCCACACGAAACTGTCCCTACTGCCTCCGCAACACGGACGGTGCAGTGTCAATGCATTCCCCGCGACAACAAAAAAAAATTCTACACAAACATTAATATAATAGAAATCTTCTGTCAAATAAAACTACATATTATATTAAAACGGCATAATCTCTTTGGTTACATTAGAAAGTGACGTAATAAAGAAGTTGAAACACCTCGTCAAGATATCCTTTATAAAGTGAAAGCAGGTCTCCTTTAGATTTATTTATTTATCTTATTTATTAACTTTATTTAATTTAATACAAGTTATGTTCATTATTAGAATAAAAGGGATAAGATTGTTTATTAAATGCTTTGATAGAATCTAGTAAAACTATGCTGACTTCCATCATAGATTAATCTGAAATTTAGTAAACATCTTAAATTCTAATGACAATACAATAAATGGTAAAAAGCGTTTAAAAATGTTTAACGATGTGACACATCTGTTAGTTTCATATCAATGTTTTAAGCTAAATTATTTTTAATCCCATGCATAAAGCCTGACTACAGGGATGATGAAACTGTCAATTACATTTTATAAAATTCAACAACCCACACGATTGGTTCATAATTACTTCCAGTCGTCGTCGTATGATATAATTAACTTCACATATACATAGTTGAATGTCTTCTACATATTCTACGTATATTTTTTTAATAAGATTAACTACCGTACAAAAACACTAAATCATCACTAACAGTATCCCTTTTCCAACCCTCAAATACTCTAAATGCAGCTCTAGTTACATACTTAAATGTACTCCTTTCATCAACCTGCTCCTACAGAGGGTCGGCACAGTTTGTGCTGCTCTTCCATACTTCTCTATCAGCCGACCTATCTGAATTCACTCCCTTAAGCATATCCCCTTTTACACAATCCATCCATAATTGCTTCGGTCATCTACCTTTGTAGTCAAAAATATGTAATGTTGTTTCACTTTAGTTCGCGATATTACTAAGTTATTACTTAACTTACTTGTCTTTACAGATAAACCATGGCAAGGGTCAGCGTTCTACTCGTCTTGCTCTGTCAGATTCTGACGCTACCAATTCTTGGCAGCAGAAGCGATGATGATAACCCATTCTTGGATCTTGCGTCCTCCTTCATACAGAACATGGCGGATGGTGGTAGTAATAACATGAATGGAATGGCGGCCATCGGTAACATCGTTGGAACTCTGATGCAGGGTGATAATGCGAAGAACTTAGGAGCACTTTTCGGACAATCAGATGGCGCTAATGCTGGTGATGTTTTGTCTGGTAAGTTTTTTAAATCAACATTTATCCAATTATGGTTTAGGTAAATACAGTTAGAGGAGATATACAAAAGTGGGCTTTTTTCGAAAGTCAACTAGCAATAAAACTTCTTTATACAAAAGATGTATGACGAAAAGAGAAATAAGAAACATGTGTTTTTGTGAACAGCCAATTTGTTTTAAATTGATTTAAAAAAAAATGGATTTTTGTTACAACAAAGAAATAACATTTTAAAGCTGGAAAAAAAATTGGATCGCTGATAATAATTTATTGATGTATATAGTAAGGAAATTACTAAAAGGTGATATTAATAAACAGTCCCAACTATCCACGATATTGTGCACTCATGTTACTAAGTAACAAGTTTAGACGCTATGGTATACGTAAATAAATGTACTGAATTTAGATTTAGAGATTATGACTGATTATTTCAACTATCTTTTCAGGTCTTGGCAGTCTACTAGGTGGTCAAGATGGTAAAATAGATCCAGCACTAATGGGTTCTATGATATCGATGTTTGCAAACCAGATGGGAGGTGAGCAACCTAAGCCACAACGACAAAAGAGACAAAGCCAAGATGGAAACGCGGACGGACTAAATTTAGATAGTATACTAGGTCTAGCTTCAGGGTTACTAGGAAATAAGAACGCAGCAAGTGTTCTTCCCTTAGTCATGAATACATTAAGTTCCTTCACCGCTCCTGAAGCGAACAAACGCGCAGACAGTCATAAAGAACATGCCACATTCCTACCACCATTCTTGGAGAAGGCACACCTTTATTGGGATCTATTTATTAACTCTGAATTAGGAAAGACTATTTGGGAGAAATCAGGATTGAAGAAAACGATGAAAGCGTTCACAGCACCCGATGGTTCGATCAGTTTTGAACTTATGTTCAAGAACTTTGAGAATCATTCGTTCAGAAGACATTGGATTAAAACCGCTGCGAAATATTTGACTGACATGGTTGTGCATGTCGCTAAACCTGAAGTATATCAAAGGTATATCCTTTTTTCAGCATGATTTTTCAGTAAAATCCAATTCCCACACATTTATACTGTAAGACCTGCTCTTTTAAATATATTACAATTAAGTACTCCACCATTCCAGATACCTGGTATCAGGTCAATTCATCGTTAACAGCTTCCTCGACGCCCAGGGTCTGCCTACAAACACTCACTTCAACATGAAGAGGCCCACAGAGTCAATAACAACACTTATCAACTACGTGCTGCAACATTACTTGGATATGGACACTGACGTATCAGAATACGTCAAACCTGCTGTGGATTATCTCAAAGTAAGCAATACTTTTGACTTAAATCAACATATTACAAAATATAGTTTTTTTAAGTTCCATTTTAATTGAACACTGTATTAAAAAGATTTTTGAAAGAATTTTAACAAAGAAAAGACAAAGTTTAACAACATCCATCTTCAATCGAACTTGGTTTCTTTCTTCGATTCTGGTCGATATATTGTCTACTAGCTGTTGCTCGCAAAAAAAAAATAAAGAGTATAGCCTATGTTAATCACAGATAAATTATCTTTCTAACGGTGAAATATTTTTTAAAATCAGGCCAGTAGATTTTGAATTATTTTGATACATACGGAAATTTTTTTCTTATTCATATTATTAGCTGTACAAATGTAGGTCCTATAAGTTGTTTCTCTTCCAGCAAACGTTGAAAATGGCACAATCAACATCACAAAGTATCGTAAGTAGGGGCGACTATAACGCGGTCGCCGACAGACTGACCGATACTCTGAACTTGGAAGTTATAGAGCCAGTGCTGAGAGTGTACCGCGCGTACAAACACTCGGTGAAAGCACCTCATTGCCAAGAACATCTCATGTGCCTCGTCAATAGACATCCTGATCAAGGCAAGCAAGGTGAGTAACCACAAAAAGCATTTATGTGGCAATTTTATGACATTGTATATGTAACGGAACGAGGAATAGACAATACCGAGCTGATATATTCAATAACTTAGCAACACTAGATGAAAGAATAGGAGTGTCTGTGAAAGATTAGGCACCCATTATTATTTTTAATTAATATAACAATATTATCTTCAAAGCGAAACTTTAATATATTGTTCAGATTAAATCTTTAATAAACGTATTATAATTGCTTTAAAAGAAATATTTTAGAATCTCTACATGAGTAGAGCGTTACCAGCCAATGATCTAAGCATGTCTAGGGAACGACCATTTATAGTCTTTTTTCTGGCCCAATCCGTTATGGGAGTGCCATAGACAAGAACCTGTAGTATTTTTTTATTTTACTTCAATTTTATATTCTTAGATTCTTAAGGGTTAGCTTTTGCCTATTACGATTTCCTATTATAATTAATCGTGTTCTAATTGTAAAATCATTTTCCAGGTCTGCCCGGATTCAAAGCTGGTCTCACTAAGCTGAGCAGCCTGGCCGCCTCCGCCGCGCTCAGTTTCCAAAACGGCAAAGGATTCTGGGATTTGTACAACGCTATACAGAATGACGTCAACTGCGAGGTTAGTTTTTTATTTTTTAACACTGGCAACATTGATACTGGCTGATAGTTTGCGTTAATTTAATACTTTTTAGGTTATTTTTTCTTACTTGTTTTTTTTCGGTAGTAAATTATATTTCGCAATTTGTGATTGATTATGATTTTTTTAATTGCTTTTTTTTCAGGCTAAATATCCTGCCGATTGCGCTTCCTTCCACGAACACGAAATGAAAGTGACCACTGAAGTTTATCACAATGAATTATAAGAAACATATATAAAAATATAGTTAAATAATAATTAAAATATTAATTCAAATAAGTATTTAATTATGCATACTTTAAATTTAATATATTTTAAAAGTTTGTTAAATTAAGAATTTTATAATATTTATAATCTGTTCCTTTGACAATTGCTCGTAGATTAAATATAAATAAAATAATGTAGTTAATCATAATGAGACACAAGTCGCAAATAATATTTTATAAAATTAGATTTCATAGTAAAAATTAGTTAAGGCATTTAAAAAAAAATGTTTTGTGTCTTGTTTTAAAAAAAAAGCTGGAAATGGTGCTAAATCTATTACGTTTAACAAAAGTTAAACATTATGAACCTATCCTTTTTCTGTTCTTAAAACACTGAATTAAATAAATAAATAAAACTTAAGTTTTCTTGTAAATATGATATGTATTTAAGATAAGAAATAAAAGACTTTATTCAATAAATCACTTTTTTATTCGATCTGTAATTGGAAGTAATATCTATACTACAAAATAAATATAATATAAATATTGCACAATACATATATTTTTGTTTTTTAGTAAGTTTAAATGAATAATCTAGCCAGTGACAGTTAAAGATTTGTAGTAATGTACTGATATCTATAAATGGACAGGCTATTGTAATATGGGTATAATTATCTGCCACTAACGTTAGGCGCGATTAATTCCGAACTAAGCATAGCCTATCCATTTTTACAGATCAATGGTTCAATTTCATTCTTTTATTCATTTCATATATATGTATACACAGAGCATTACTTTGTTAAATAATATCATAAATAAATGACTGGTTAAAACGTTAACTATTTACTATTTTCAATGTAGACATTTATTTCTTTACTGGTATATTCTTACATACCCATTCCATCCCCTCCTGTAAATAGAAATTAAAACTTACTACAGATTAAAAAGCACCCGTTCAACAAACTATATCTATCTTAATGTCAAAATATTCTACATTAACACTTTTTTTAAACAAAATTAAAAATGACTTGCCTTTACTCCTGTCCCCTCAATGGCAACACACGCTTGTATCTGCCAAGTACGATCTCTGATTAAATGAAGACCGAGATGTTGTGCAACTTCACTGGCTGGTAAAGCTAAAAAAAAAATCGTGAAACATTACGAACCTCGGAACAACCATTATAGTTTGTAATTTCCAATAAGACAGTCATTGACATATTTTTTTTTTATTTTTTTACACTACGGGCAACTTACCAGTATCTAAGTCCTGTTTATTAGCGTAAACTAACAACGGTACACCACGTAACTTGTCATCCTGCAGTAATTCTGCTAACTCTAGACTTGTCTCTTCCAGTCTTAGGTGATCTGAGCAATCCACAACGTAAATCTAAAAGTAAAATCCATCAAAAATTATGGCGAGGTCGATAAGACTTACATATTATTATGAAGGGGTTTGGTTTTACGTACCAAGATGTCAGTATTTTCGAAGTAATTCCTCCAATAGGGGCGAATTTTTCGTTGTCCTCCAATGTCCCAAACATTCAACTTGAAACCATTAGACAGCACAGACTTAATATTAAAACCTGCTGTTGGTGTAACGTGATTAACATCTTCTGATGCCAATTGCTTTAAAAGTGTAGTTTTACCCGCGTTGTCCAAACCAAGAAGTAAAAGACGCAATTCTTTATCTGGATTCGAACGCAACTTTCTTAAAATATTTAAAAGCCCCTGGAAATGTAAAACATATGGAGAATTTTGTTACTTGTTATTTATTGTTAACAACAAGACAAATTTAAACCAATTACCATCATTGATACGGCGGATTAGTCACTTAATATTAAAATATCTTCTTGTATCACTAAAACCACAACAGACATTCAAAAGCTGTTTATATTATTGTTGCTATGGTTGCAATAGCATTCGCGTTTGACTGAGAATCTCCTGCAACCAAAAACAATTTATAGCTACTATTTGAAACATATGTTTGGTTTAATTTTGTCAGCCAAGCGTAATTTAACTGTTGACGAGATAAAATAACGAAATAACTCAAACACAAAATTAAATTCTTTTCAGTGTGCCCCTGGCTGTATGAGCTATTTCCTTTTGCCGCGTACTGTCAATGTCAAACTGTCAGAAAATATAACCTAAAACGTAAACAAAACTCCTCGTTCGTGCACGTGGGGATTGGTCGCGTTTATTATAGAATAACAAACAATAAAACATTTCAATAATGGGGAAAGTAAAACAGGAACCAGTGGAGAGTACTGAACAAGCGGACATATCAGTTAAAGGGGAACCGCAAAACTATGATGATAAAATAGAACACTGCAGCATTATCGCCAAGCCGATGGCACCGAAGAAACTAAGTAAAAAGATATATAAACTTATAAAAAAATCCAGCAGTCATAAAAATTACATCAGAAATGGTCTTAAAATTGTTCAAAAACAACTACGATTGGGCGAGAAAGGGTAAGCGATTTATATTTTCTTCTAGTTTTTAGGTTAGCTTGGTGCTAATAGCATCGATTATTGCTGTATGAAACTTATGATTCTGAGCAAACAATAAAATATGTTAATGTAATTTCCTACTATTCTTTACAATCCATATATCTTTATTTCTTATTCTCTATATAATACATTTTACAAGAATATAAAAATATAATAAAATATATTATATAAAAAATAGAGCACCACCGGCTGAGGAATCCGATGACTCAAGCAACCAGTGGTCAGGGCTGCAGAGACAGGAACCTCCTCACTATTCATGCGGTTTCTAAAATAACCGCCTTTTGAATCGGGCCCTTAATCCAACTGTCTAGCGAGAGCTTCTTGAGGTGTTGGTCGAAGCTCTTCGCTATTAGCCCCTGTACCGAAACGACTATCGGACTATTCTTTACTATTATTAACATATACAACAATAGTCAAAACTGTTTTAAAAACTTACACATGCAATTCAAAAATGTTACTCATTTTCATTCACTACTACATCGAAATTAATCAACATGTATGATTCCAGAATCGTTGTATTCGCTGGTGATATATCTCCGATAGAAATAATGTGTCATTTGCCCGCTGTTTGTGAAGAAAAGGATGTTCCATATTGCTACACACCAAGTCGTAAAGACATTGGCTCCGCGATGGGAACAATGCGAGGTTGCATTATGGTACTGATCAAAGAACATGAAGAATACAAGGACTTGTACGATGAGGTTAAAAGTGAAATCAAATATTTAGGACATCCTTTATAACTTAGCTTTAATTTTTTTTTTAATATATTGATAAGTTTCAGTTTTACGTAAATAGTTTACGATAAACTTAGATGCATGGGTGATATAACTCATATAAACACTTTAAAATCATTCTTGTTTTGTTCAAAATTGAAGACTGCAATAAAAAAGTGATTTAAAAGAACTGTTATATGTCCACAAGGATTTATTACCTCATACAACTAGATAATTTAAATAAAAACTTATTGTCAAATCTTTGTCTAGCTGTTCCCATGTGGTTTCATTTATATGAAATTAAACTGTTTTATGTCAAAACAATGTTATGATAAAGCTACAAAAAGAACTTGTGTTAATATTAAATTTATCTCAGCTTCATTCATTATAAAGTATACAAGACCAAGACAGCATTGTAAATATTCTATGACAAATAAATATTCCATTTCTTAAATGTAATTTTATTTAAATAACCCAATAAAGCTATTTTGTTTTAATCCAACTTCCAAAAGGAGATATACTCACATGTATACATTTTTAACATGCACAATAACATTTTATCCATATTACTTTTGAAAAGATGGTCTTACTAATTATAGATGTGAAAGTTTATATTGATGGATGTTTTTTAGAGTTTATAGCCCAAACTGCTGAACGGATCTTAATGAAAATTGGCATAGATGTAGAGGATAGTCTGGAAGAACACAGGCTACTACTCACTTTCGTATTTTAATTCCATGCGGAGGGATTCGCGGGCGATAGCTAGTTATTTCATAAAATGGTATTTCTCAAACATACTCACTGACAGTCTGAACATCTTCATTTGTTCAGGGTTATCTCCTGTTGACTAGATTTTAACTGGACTTTTATAGAGATAGATGATGCTCAAAGCAATATTGTAGTTTTTTTTTTATTAAAGCGGACAGATTGGTAATTTTGTGTATTGGAATTACTCAAAAACAACTTGGTTGATTTCAAAAATTCTTTTTGCCACAAAAATGCTACATTTTTACTAAGTAACATAGGCTGTTTTTACTATTGTATGATTCCATGTGGTCAAATAGGTGAATAAAACACTTTCTCCAGTTGCAACCCGTAGTAATATTGAGACATATTTTTAAATAATAAAAGGAAGAAAATAAAACAATATATTAATTACACATACATTTATTACACTTATTAAAAACTAGGTACGTAAAAAATGGCAGATTGTCAATAGCTGACAGTGAAGATTGGCAAAGTACATTATATACTTCAAATTACGCACTAGATCTAAGATAAGAAGTTAGATTTGTCTCCTAGAATAGATTTCAGGTGTTTATGTGCTCTTATTTAAAAACTACAGGATTACTATTAGTGTATGGCAGATATATTAAAAAAACAATTTTCCTGCAGTTTATATAAATCAGTGACCAACAAAGAGGACTTCTTGGCATCAAAGATGGTGAAAACAAATCTAAAGATTCACATTTTCAAGAAAAAGAATATAAACAGAGGAGTTCACGGAAAGTATAAAATAGTTTATAAATAACAAATTATCACGGAATCTTCTATATTTTTTTTAATCATATGTTTTTGGAGATTGCTTTATGAATTAAATTAAGTGTGTTTCGAAGTCCAAGTTTTGGCAATTAACATATATTACTCTAATATTTTCAAGTTACTTGCCGAAAACAATATTATCAATGTATATACTGAAATCTATTCTATTCACAATGAATTACAATCTAATAATTGAAGCAAATAGTTTTAGTGAAACCCTGCTTTTGAGTGCATTATGAGATCACAATTTAAAATATTCCACGGAATAAAATGCAATAAGAAAATACAGAGATTCTTTGGACGAGACAATGTGTTTTACCGTAGAACTCCACTGTTAAGTAGACGTGAAAAACTGAGTTGGCTCAAAAGTTCAGATCATAGAGACGAAGTGTTGAGCTATGGCTCTACTAAATTGCTCCCTCACGATTCAAGGTGACAACTAAGTGACTCAAATTCTATGAGCGTACCAATTGAGCTTTTTCGAGGTGCCGGAGGCTCAACTTTAGTCCCATTTCCTTCCTACCCTTTTTCTCATTAGAATAGGAGAGAACGTGCATTTGACCGTGGAGGAGATGCATAGGAAGAGGAAATATCCTCTTTATGTGCGTCTCCTCCGTCGATTAAGGGTAGGCAATGTATCCGCTATTGCGAATGTCTATGGGCAGCAGTCGCTTCGCCATTTTGACGGATTCAGGCCGCTTGCTCGTTTGGCACCTTATAATATAAAAAAAGTTATAGGGGATTTGATTCACACATGTGAACCGTGAACTGATCTGCAGGTCATTTTGAGCTACTTTAGTTACCTATGACTACCGTCGACACTTACTGTAAACGTCAACGCAGTGAAATTCTACGGTCACGAAATGTGTAGATAGCGAAGATATATTGATATTTGTACTTCAGAATTCTTAGTTGACGTGTCCCTAGATTAATTAAATGTATGGAAAAATGATTCAATTTAACATTCATTCACTCTCTGTAATGATAATTTTTAAATGTTACGTTTTTTTATTGACAAAAGCGTCTTTCTCTAGAGAGTTCTCTTTTGTCTATTGGTTTATGATTTTTTTTAAAATTCCTGAACGCAATTCCCGTTCCCACCAAAGCAAATAAGGAATGTGCATTAAAAATAGCATTTACAAAAGTCATAGACATTAATTTATGATTTTGCGATTTTAGTTCAAGCATAGAACATAACAAGTCATTTTATATATATTTTAAATCCATTAAATGGATTTTAACAAAAAATCTTTGGAATTAAAATAATACTGGTACATTTAACATTTTTAAAAAATAATAAGAAATGAAAACTCAACAAGTTGCTTTTAGACCAAAATAAAAAGATTCATACTAATATTTATTGATTCAAATAATGTCTTTTAAAATTAACAGAATCATGTTCCAGTTTCTACTACCAAATAAAAATAAACCCATAGGGTAATAACAAAACTATGTAATTTAAAATATTTATATAGCAACCCCATTTTCGCTAACCAATCAGAGGTATGTAGCATTTGGTGTCGCCACTAACTATAATACAGCCTGCTGATTGGCTGACACTTAAGATCGTTAGAATCGTTGTAGTTCTAATTTTGACTTCCTTATTACCGCACTCATAATCTCAGTTACACTAAGGGATAATTTAAGTGTAGATATTTGAATCCAACAGATAATGGCGTTGTCAAGACACATAGAGATCCAAAACACATCAAATTTTTAACACATCACAGTTAAGATTTTTATTCTATCACAGACTACTAATACAGAACCTAAAAAATACTAATATTAGATAATGTTAAAGAACCAAAATCAAATTCTTTTTTCTTTATAAATTGAAATTTCAAACTATATAAAAGCCTATGGCAACTAAATATTTGTAGTCGCTAAATATTCGGGAAATGAAACAAAGAATAAACAACGCAGACATGTCACCAAGATATTTTTGTGTAAATTGATTTCTTAATAAAACTTTTCTTTTGTATAAAAACTAAATAATTTCATATGCGTGTAAGCGATTGCTAATCGTGATTATCCTAATTCAAATTATACAAGTATTTTAATTGTGAAGTAAATAATATCATTAGTAGAAAAATAATACAATACCTAATAATTATATAGCGTCTTATATACTAAAATATTTTTAATACTAAAATATCCTAAAATGAATACGTGAGGTATAAAAATATGACAAGTTTATTTAAATAAATGAATTAAAACAATCAATTTGATTTTAAAAATTTCCCCAATTAAATGGTATTTTTGCCTTTGAAATGTAATACTCTCTATTACCTTACATTTAGGGAAATTTAATTATCTGTGCCAATATAATAATAAGATAATTGAAAAAATCGTATTTAAAACTTAGAAAAATCGAAAACATTACATTTTTTTACAATTTACCTTTCATTTCGATAGTATTATTTCAAAAGAATTTCATACTGTGAAAGTTTAGATGATAAAATTCGACTCGAATTATGACATCTTAAAAATACAAACTAACCACATAAGCTAGTTACTTAATAATAATAGTGACTGTTCAATACTGTACGTAATCATATCAAAATAATATTTCCATCCTTGTTGCACTACAAATTAAAGGAGGGAAGATTTCAAAATGGCGGCAACACACGCCTAATTACGTATCCTGCTAACATTTTTAATGTTGCTAATTTGACATTGACAGCTGTCAGAACACAATGACAGCTGTCGCAGTTTAAATCATGAACCAAGCACTCTATGTCCACACGGAATTTGTGATCATTATTCATAAACACGCGTCAAAGTTAGTCCTATTAAGAAACAGTCTGAAAGCTTAGACTTGTAAAAAGTTTAACAGTCGTGTTGCAGTGGTTCTCAACCTTTATTTTAAAAATATCAAACAACAAATATTTTAGGACTTCGACATGAAAAAATAGCATTTTTTAAACATTTGTGTTTAGCTTTTTAATTATGATAAATACATATAAAATCAACTTATGTTTAAACCAAAGAAAATGACAGTGGAGTTTGTAAAAATATGTCGTTTAATTTTTTATAGAATTCAAGAATATTACATTAAAACTTCCCACTTTTAAACTATCGTGAGACATTATAACCACTTATTAAACAGTGGCGGCACCGACTGCTTTAAATTTTTGTCGATATTTTATCATAAAACATGATTCTTTAATAAAAAAAGGTTGAGAAACACTGGTTCAAATTTAAAGTGCGATCAGTGAGTGAGCGAGACGCGGCTATGTGTAGACGTGGAACAGCAATAGTATGGTGAGTATTGTGCTCATGAAGCACATCGAGACAGGCACCAGCACCGCGAAACGGAGAGACCTATAGAAATTTAAAACAAATAAGAAAGAGACAGCTAATATTTTCATATCTTGAATGTACTACATACTACAAACCGGCAAACAAGGGAATTCTTTAATTCGTTAAAAGCAAAGTTGCCCATACACATTATCTTATTGGATTTTTTTTGACGTTGACAGAAGGCGTTTAGAGTTGACATTATACAAAAATTCCCAACTTCTTTCGAAATTCTCCCATATTGAAAACAAACCGAGCCCACATGCATTTTTTAAATCGATTTTCGAAAATATAATAATGTCCCCATTCCGTGAATTTGCCGCTCTCTCATTGGTGAGAGATTGGTGATATGACGCTTACATAATGACATTGCTAGTTCAGAAAATTGGCAACTGTTATGGTTGTAAGTTTATTTATTCTGTTAGAAGAAACATTTAATACTTTAAAGTACAGAGAGGTGGATACTTCCTCTGTACATCTCTTCTTTTATCAGTTTTTTATTTTTATTTCTTTCTTATCTTTCCTTATTAGAAAAATGTGGCAATTATGTTAATATGTGAATTAAGCCTCTTGCTTTTACTTGAGGCATGTCTTGTGTCATTGTAGTCAAGTGGAAACAACTGTGGTGTATGTGTATAAGTTATTGCTGTGGGTAGTAAATAAATGTCCCTAACTACATTACCTCCAGAAGGGCGTGCGTCAGAGCGGTGGGTTGGGCTGCGGCTCGCTGCGGCACAGCGCC